GCTTTTGGCGGCGTGGCATTGCATCGGGGAGTTAACCCGCGCCCGCCGCGCATCAGTCGGCTGCGCGAGCGCGCGGCGCGCACACGCGCGCGCGTGACGCCACTTCTGCAGCCGCAACGGCGGCGAAGGTACCACGACGGCCTGGAAACCGCAGCTCGACATCAACGGTGGCCGATTGGGGCCTGACGCTGCCTTTGATATAGTATGCCCATCGCGCGCCGTTCGGTGTGGACCAACGCGCCACGCGTATATGCGCGCGCGTGGCGGCACCGAGCCTTCCGCACCAGAGAATGCGCGACGCTGCTTTCGGTGCCCTAATGGACCGAGGGCGGGCGGCGCTAGACTTTCAAAATTGACGGTGACCCGCTGCGCGCCAACTTGCTGGGCCAGCAAAAGACGCGCGCACGCGGGTGCGTCGTGGTTCTGGCGCCCACAGTGTGGAGACCGACGCGCTGCTGCTGGAATTCGGAATGAACCCGAAGCGGAGGGTGTTCGGATTTCGGCGCACGCATGGCCCCATCACGCGCCCGCCGAGCGTCGGTCCCACGACGCGCGCGCGCTTGGGCGCGCGTTGGGCCGCGCGGCCCCCAAGAATTAATAACCGCAGCGCTGCCTTGGACATTCGAAGCCCCCACTTAGCGATGACTGCCCATCGGTCGCGAGCCACCGCTGGCTGGCGCACCCAACGTCGACCGATTATGTAAGCCCGCGGCGCACGCGCGCGCGGCGGTGGCCTCTGCCGCGCGACCCAACGCGTCACCAGCCACTATGGTCCAAGCACTCGCGCAAGCCCCCTCCCCCAACCACCGCCTCCAAGTGGCGGCATAGGTGTTTTCGGATTTCGAATGTGACGTTGCGCCGACGCGTGCAGGCACTTGGCATCTCGGGAAGTTGCCTGCGCGGCGCGCGCGCGAGTTGCTGGTTCCAGAATTCGCGCACTTCCGCGCCTCCTCGGGACAAGAAGTGGGGCCCGCAAGGTGGCGGCGATGCGCCGCGTGGACGCAAACGTCACCGCGGGTCCGTCACGCGTGGAACAGGCCCTATGGGCCGCAGCGCACGCCGCGCGGACGCGCGCGCGAAGTGGGACTTGAACTGCGAGCTGCCCTCGACAAAGAAGCCGTCGCGCCGCAATGGAAAAGAAGTGGTGCCCTCAGGGGTGACCGATTGGGCGTCGCCGCCAGCCCATGCGCGCCGCGCGTAAGCCGACGCGGGCCTGATCGCGTCGCGCGCGCGATAAGCGCATGGCCCCAGCGCCAAGGGGGCCAGCGCGTCGGCTTAGGCGTTTGGTCGGGCAATGAGCCGCGAGAAAAAGTTGGGCAATAGAGCGGGGGCACGCGGGCACAACGCGAACTTGTCGGGGCTGGCCCGCGGCGCCCGTACGCGCGCGAAGTGGAACGCGCGTTGCCCGCAATCGGGAAGTCGCAAAGTTGGCTCTGGCACCAGAGTGAAACGCCACCAAAACCCATATTTTGCGCTCAGCGTTCGCGCGGGCCCATCAAGCGCCAATCAGTGACTAGCGCCGACGCGCGCGCGCGCGCGGGGTTCGGAAACACCAGCGGCAAGACAGATGGCACGTCGACTCAATCCAAGCGGGCAATTCGCGCTGGCCGATAGGATGACATAGCGCTACATTGGGCTCGCCGCATGCAGGTCGGTTGGGAAATCACGCGGCGCGCGTACGCGCGCGCGTGGTGGGCTCTGCGCTGCCCACCGTGCGGACGCAACGGCGTTGTCTCAGAAGTCAAGGCGGACCCTTAGCGGTGACCGATTGGATTTCGGAAGCAGGCATGGCCCACTATACGCCTTTAGGTTGGGTCAGCGCGCTGCGCGCGCACGCGAGACAGCAGCCCGTGGCTTCTGCAACACCAGCAACAGAAACCCCGCCACGCCACCTATGAACTAATCTGAAGCCTACAGCCGTTACCGATGTAGATGCAGAAGTCAGCCTTGGCCCATGAAGCCAATCGCTTGGGACAACGCACGACGCGCACACGCGCGCGCTTGCTGGGGCTTATATACCCCAAGCTACAAGAGGTACCATGGTGGGTTGCAAACCAAGATTGAACCTCTGGCGTCTTCGAAAAGAGGAGGCTGCCAGATAGCAGTGGCCTACCACGTGACACTTGATTTTGGTCATCGCACGACGCGCGCATGCGCGTGTGGCCAATTCTGAATTATCCTCACCAGAGGAACGACCATGCTGGCAGTGGACCTGGGGCGGGCCCTGAGTTGTCGCCAGATGGGTTTAGACGTTGACATGCTCGCACCACACGCTAGGCAACTTGGCCAGCGCACGGCGCGCGTACGCGCGCGGTGGAGTCTGTGGGCCCACAAAAAGCAACCCGCTACGCTGTCTTGGGAACTGAAATGGCCATGCAGGGGTGCCCGCAACAAAGGGGAACTAACAGCGCACATCGCAGGCTGGCCGACAGGGCCCGCGCACGACGCAGGTACACGCGCGCGTGGTGGTAGTCTGTTGTGATGCACACTAGAGATGTCACCGTGCATGCGTGGGCGTCGTGAAGTAGGATGGCGCCAACGCAAAGAAAACTTGACAGTGCTTGCACCCCGAGGTCGTTCGGCGATCCCCAAACACTGTTTGCACCGCAGGCCGTGGCCCCAACAGACTTTTTGAACGGCCGCCGCCAGTCCGGTGGGACCCCAAACTGGCTGCCCAATGCCAAACATGATGCCATACTAAAGCTCCGCTTTGAGATTCTGGATTCAATCCTTGGACACCCCCTCTGGGGTGTAGTGTTTCCACAGCCTGCCCCCCCGTCGTGGGCGCAGATCAGATTTGCGTTTCCTCGGGGTTTCTGCTCCTCTTCCTTGGCAGGCCATCCAGTTGCCTTCTTCCTCCTCTTCTTCGTCCTGCCCCAGCTCACGATGCAGCTCCCAACGTAGCCTCTGCATTCCCAGTCATCCTCTTCTCCTCGTCTGACCCCTCCTCATCCTCCAATTCCTTCGTGGGGCACCGAGCGTGCCGACGCCCCGTTCCAGGGCTGTCGTGATAGCGCGTTGGCTCGGTGCTCTAGTTTCCACGCGTTCTTGTCTGCTCACGCACCAGAGTTCCAAGTCATGGCGCCTCCAAAGTCGAAGCAGCACGTCGTCGCAGAGGATGGCACGCAGCCGCCCATTGAGCCAGACACGCTCGAGATGTTCCCATCGGGCGAGACCCAATGGGAAGGGCCGCCCGACTCCCTCACGGACCCTATGGTGCCAGAAGACTACGCCAACACCATTCCAGCTGAAGTGCTGCAGCATCGCCGCTCGCTAGAGCCAGCCCGCCCAGAGAAGATGGTCAATATCCCATCGCCAACGCCAGGGACAGCAGGCAGTGCCTCATCGCGGCAGGCCGCGCCACCTCCAGTTGTACGCTTCGCCGATGTGGCGAAGAAGCTCAGTGAGGCTCCGACGCCGCAGTACTCGCTCAAAAAGGAGCTCGCGGCAGCAGCGGTCAGGATCACACAAACGCCATCGGCTTCGGCAGCGGCGCCGCGCCCCCCAGACAAGGGCCAGAGTGCCAGCAAGAGCGCTGCGGCGGCGGCCGAGGCTCCTCGCTCGCAGTCGCCGCCACTGCGTCCCCTGAGGACGAAAAACAACCACGGAGAAGCTGATCATGACGGCAGCGTCCCGCTGGGACAGGTGGGAGGACGTCCCGGCTGGCATCCAGCAGGGCTTCATCGACAAGTTGGGCTCGAGGTTCCCAGTGAAGTTGGGGGAGCTGCCCGCCGAGAGCACGAACTACAAGGTATTTTTCGAGGTGGGGTGCAATATGGGCCCGAGGACTCGGCAATCGTGAGTCTCGCATTGCAAACAACAGTCGTGAGCCCTCATCTGTGGAATATTATTGTGTTTGAAGTTGCAGCTGCTTCATCATCTAGCTGCGTAGACCGTTTGGAGTTATGTGGCCGCATCGTGCGGCGACGCTCGGAGGCCGCATCGAGAGGCCAAGACGCTGGCATCAGCAGGTATTTCAGGCTGATGATTGCATGAGAACTCTCTCGCCTGATTGTCCTGATTCACTGCTCATCCCTCTCCTTTTGATCCACGGGCTGCCTACCAGCCAGTAAAGAACACCTACCAGACAGCAACCATGACACCTACCAGACAGCAAAAGACATGCACCAGGCAGCAACATAACGCGTACCAGGCAGCAGACGAAACCTACCAGACAGCAAAAGAACACCTACCAGACAGTACACGAAACCTACCATACAGCAAACGAACACCTACCAGACAGCACCATAAACCCACCAGGAAGCAAACTAACACCTTCCAGACAGCAGCCTACCACCTACCAGGCAGAAAAAATGAAACCTGCCAGACAACAGAAAAACACCTACCAGACAGCAACACAACACCCACCAGAAACCGACACACCACCTACCAGACAGCACTGCTAGTGAACACCTACCAAACAGCGAAACACGCCTACCAGACAGCAACAAAATAAGAACCCAGCAAAACAAGACTCCAAGCAGACAGAAGCGGGCCTCCAGAAGGTTAAAGACCTTGGGCAGTAGCAAGCGGTTGACGTCCTCTGACTACGTAATCGTTGTGCTGCAGTGGCGCGTCTCGGTGCGCGCAGGCAGGCATAATGCTAGAGCAGATGTCAGTGCAGAGTGCCAACGCTGAAGGCTCCCAACTTTGCCCCAATGAAGGCCCCCAACATGTGCCCCCAATGAAGGCCCAACTGGAGCGCCGGAAGCAAACGACCGAACACCGCTTGGCCTCAAGCCACTTTGGGCTCACAGGAGCTGGCGGTGACAGCGCTTGCCCCTCCTTGCCGCGGCATTTGGTGCAGCACGGCTGCTTCAGTCGTGGCGGACGAGGAGATGCTGGGAGAGGGGCCTGGTGTTGGAGACCCCCTGTGCTTCCAGTGCGGTCTCTGCGAGATGGACATTGCGCGCGCAGACACGAGCAAGACAGATTGGAAAGGCATGTGTCTCCACGGGCGTTAGTTCAATGCGATACGGGCCCACGACCGCTTCCTGGAGGGAGCGCCGCAGCACGTGGTTGATAAAATGAACCAGGACTTCGGGCTCGACCGTCCCGCTTGGCAAGAACGCATCCGTCCTTGGATCGGCCCTGCCAAGGTCGCGAGGGACAGCGCCAGGGAGGTGACCAAGAGGTTCTTCACCGTGACAGAGACGAGATCGAAAGAGACTCAGAAGGGGACCGATGACGACATTACCGTCTCTCGGACGGAGTTCATGGCGTTCGAGGGGTTCTGGCACAGGAAGACAGATGAGGAGAGCACGCTTGAGCTTGGACGGATTCGCGCAGAGCAGAAGGGCAAGTACGACGTGACGTGGGTGGAAGACGGCGAGGTGAAAGTTCTGCAGAAGATAGCTACGAAGGGCATCGGTCGGGTCAGGGCGTCCAAAGGCGAGTCCAAGTCCAATTGCAGCATGCAGGTGGAGATGGAGACGTCTGCGCTCGATGCGGAGGTGAAGCGCAGGCGCCTCATGGCCAAGTCGTCGGTTTTGCTGCTTCGTCCTGCGATGGTCGAATGCCGCCGTCGCATGTTCCGACCAACGCCCGCTCAGCCGAGCACTACCTGACCTTCGGCGACAGCCGCTCCAGGGCCGACAGCGTGGACACCTTGGACGCCTCCACGGTCGGTGTGGCGACGTCGCCTCGCGAGGCGCTTCGGGGAGCTGAGGCCCCAGACACAAGCAAGGACGGCGCGAAGTTGAAGAAGGGGGCGCCGTCTGAGAAGGGCGGCAAGACCAAGCTCTTCAAACCCAAGTCGGATATCAACATTGACGACGCCACCGGGGGGCGCGTCGCGCCGACGCTGGAGGACATCGAGAAGATGGAGCCCGTCGTGTTCATGGAGGTGAAGCGGCACTGGAGTGAGATGGCGCCCCACGTGCACGCTGGTTTCATGGCTACTGGGTCGGGCTACGTGTGTCAGCTCAGGGCCGCCAGCGACGCCGTGGGCAACGAGGCGCAGAAAGACCTTGACATGCCGACCGACGAGCTGATCAAGAGCATCAGCAGTATTGCGCAGGAGATTCAGGAAGATGTCGAGGCTCGGTGCTGACTGCAACAAGTCGAGCTTCGCCGGGTATTCTGCTAGGCTTCATTCCAAGATAGACGAGATCGAGAAGACGAAGAAGCAGGCGTGTACTCAGTTGGACGGCCTTCGGCATCTCAACGGGAAGGGCGGACGCGGCAAGCAGATCGAGTACATGAGCCACTACAACAAGCGCATCAAGATAATGCGCAGGCTGATGAAATGCAATTTCGCGAAGGAGCTCGCCGACGACATCTCCAGGGCGATCTACTCCATGAGGGGGGCGCCGAGAAGAAGTCCTTGGTCAGCGAGCCCTGCGCCAAGGGCGGCAAGCTGAAGAAACCTCTGCTTTCCAGGGCCCCGTGGCACTGAATGGCAGCAGCATCGACCCCTTCAAGTTCACGGTGTGGAACGACCCAAATTCTGAGGTGCACAATGCGGTCTCCAGGATCATCCAGACTAACTCCGAGGCCATCGATAACAAGATCAAGGTTCACGACAGCTCATTCAACCCCAAAGGCCAGAACTGGCTAGGCTGCCTGGGTCGCGTGACGAGCGACTGGGTGGTTACCGACGTGGAGGCGTTGGGCGACGGCTACTTCGAGCTCTGTACGGGTGGTGTATCGCCGTGGTTGATGACGATCAAGGCCGATTGCCCTCGTTGGGGTCCAGCGTCCGTTCCTCTCGTGGGCTTCGAGTGCATGGTGATTGCACGCGCGAAGGATACCCGCATCATGTGCCACGAGGCGGCGACAGTGCTGCAGAACGGCGCGTCGCTCAAGGAGTTCTTGAAGTTCGCGGAGACGGAAGACGGCAGCAACGGCATCCAGGCCTCGACGATTATGCATTTGAAGATTGGTGAGATTCTGCACGGGGCACGATGATCATGCCTTTGCACCGCCCGCTGGAGCTCCAGCATACCAAGAAGATGCCGCTGAGCCATCTCATCGTGCTGCCGCTGCTCCACGCGGAGAACGCCAAGACGGCGCCGTGCTTCGAACTCCTCCTCCTCCTCCTGCCCCCTCCCATCCTCGATCTTCCACTTCCTCCGACTCAAACCAGCGAGTCCTCCTCCTCCGGCCTGAGTTACCCCGCCCTGACCATTGATCCTCTCGCCCTCATCCTCCTTCTCTTCCTTCCCCTTCACCCGCCGCTCCTAGGGGGCAAAGGGACGAGGACCAAGGAAGAGGGAGGAGGAGGGAAGATGAGGCGGGAGTTGAGGGCGGATGAGCATAAGGAGGGGGAGGAAGAGGAGAAGGAGGAGGAGGATCGATCAGACAATGAACGAGGATGGGTTTTCGGACAACATGAAAATGAGGCATAGGACGTTCATGAGGATGGTAGTCTGGATCAGGAATCAACCCATTAGGATGACGACGAGACTGAGGATATCCTAGGGATAATGAGATGGTGCTGAAAAACTACAGGGGATGAGGGAAAGACGGTGAGGCGAATGGTGAGGATGAGGCAGGCTAGGACGTTGATGAGGATGACCTGCATGACTACGAATATCACGAAGACAAGAATGACGATGACGCGTACGATGATCAAGAACACGATTCGGCTATAGGGGAAGATGATAGGGTCGCGCGGGCGTGGATGACGAGGACGGGATCGGCGGAAGGAGGTGTTTACGATGATGACGATGATGGCAACGATGGCAGGGCATAGGGGGATGATGATGATGCGGGTGGGGGCGGTAGGGATGGATCGGATCACGACTTAGATGAGGAAGGGGGTGATGAAGCGGATCAGGAATTAGATGATGAAGGTGATGGTGAGGAGGATGAGGAGGCGGACCATGAGGAGGGGGTCGACGATGAGGCGGACCTCCTCATCTTCCCTCCCCCATCCAGGCGGTCAGCCAGGATGTGGCTCGTGCGATTTCGAACTACAACACAGAGTACCTCGCGGCGCAGGCCGCGGGGTCATCCATGTACAAGGAGAGGGCAGCGGCGTTGGGCCGCTTCACAGTGATGTTGGGCCTATAGGCCGCCACACTACCTTTTTCGAGCGGCGCGCCGCACGAGGAGGCGGAGAAGGAGGAGGAGGAGGAGGAAGAGAGGGATCACTCGGAGGAAGCTGAAGGAGAAGAGGACGACGACAAGAAGTAAAGAGCAACAGGGAGGGAGGAGGAAGGAGGGGGGTTCAGGAGGGGGAGGTAAAGGAGGAGGTAGGAGGGGAAGGCAGGTAGGAGGAGGAATGAGGCAGGAAGGAGGAAGCAACAAAGAAGACGATGCGCCGCTCGCACCTGTTTTCGAGCCAGGTGGCTCGGCCGTTTCGTCGAAGTTTGCTCTGGATGACAGGGCCGCCACCCGCAGGAATGAATATTCCTCCTCTTCCTCCTCCTGCTCCTCATCCTCGTTCTGCTCTTTGCTACCCCGTGTGCTTTCTCCTCCTGCTGCTCCTCCTCCTCCTCCTCCTCTTCTCCCTCCTTGTTGCCATATTGGCTCAAGCGCTGTCGCCGTCCGCTAGCCCCCTCCTTGTTCTCTTTTCCCAGTGTCCTGCGGGGCATTTGGGAAGGGGGGGGGCAACCATTCTACCAATGCGGAAAATCCCTCCTACTCCACAGCCTCGTCCTCCTGCCCCTCGTTCCCCCTCCCCTCCCATTCTACTCATCCCGATGTCATATCCTTGCCCCTCCTTCTCAAACTTCGTTTCCCCCACCGCCTCTTCCCGCTCATCCCACCAGCTCCTTCCGTGGCCATTTTGGCTCGAACCGTTCAAGTGCATCTCCGCGCTACCGCGGGACTTGAGATTATAGTTGCTGCCATCGTTTTCTTGCTCTCGGCACCGCGGTCAAGCTTGCATGTGGTAGCGGAGCGTTGCCAAGCGTATAGCTGGCGTGCCTTGTGAGATGACCTTCAACCGTGCATGCGTCTTGGCAAACGCCAAGATCGCATAAACCACCGATTTGAAACCATAAGCCTGGGGGGTTGGGCGAAACCCAACCTTAAACCACGGGAACAAACCTTAAGCAATCCATGAACCACCGCCGAGTTCACAGCGCGCCATCCCATTGACGGGAAAGTACCCTTAACCTGCAAAGGTGGCCTGGAGAGTGCCTAGCCAGGCCCCGGGGGCCGACAGCAGCAGGGCGCCAAGCGAGACGGCGTCAGGGACTCCGACTGGCAGGACGACGACAAGGGCGGCTGGAGGAGCCACAACTGGAACGAGGGCGGCTGGTCAGAAGGTGAATACTCAGACCCGCCCACCTGGCCGGGATGGGGCCACTACCGCCTGTGGAAGAAGGCGATCCAGCGGTGGAATCGCAACGCTGACGTGCAGCTGTGGAGACGGTCGGAACGTTTCTTGAAGCTGTTCGACTGGGCGATGCAGGCGAAGTTCGGGGACATCAGCGAGAACGCGCTTTGCGGGCCCCGCTGGCTGGACACCCTCCTCGAGAGAATGGACCTCATGAGCGGCCAGCGAGAGGGCGACGACATGCGCAGGGCAGGTCGCAGGGCACTGTTCGAGTGCACGAAGGGCTCGAAGGAGAGCCTCATGCAGTTCGCGGCGAGGCGCGATCAGCAGATGACCGACGCCGAGAGCCGCGACATATGGATGTCAGACAAGATGGTCTCATGCTCGAGGAGGGCGCGGGGCTGAGTGCGCAAGGTCAACAGAACTTGCGCGTCCTCGCCAAGGGCAGCCTGGACTACAGGGGCGTGGCCTGGGCTCTCAGGCACCTCGACTACGGTAGCGGCGAGCAGCTGCTGCCTGGCAGCAGTGCCTCGCGTCCAGTCTTGGCTGCAGAAGACGGCGAGGGCGGGCGAGGCCCCAGCTCTTTTCCTCTTCCCCATCCGTCCTCCCAGGCTTTCCAGGTCTCGGTCTCCGGGACCGCTCGACAAGGTCGAGGAATCGTATTATGACGAGTCGGGAGAGGATCCAGACGAAGACGAAGAGCTGTCAGAGACGGACCTCATGGCCATTTTGGCGGAGATTGAGGACCCGGATCTCGATGAGGACGACGCCACCGAGGCCTTCGCGCAGATGACCGGCAAGGTGCAGCGCAGGTCCTGGAAGCAGAACAAGGACCTGAAGCGCGCGGCGAAGCAGGGCCGCGAGTTCTACGGTGCACGACCTCGTCGGGGCGACGGCGACGGACGTCGCGGCGGTGGCCGAGGCGGTGCAGGCAGCAGAGGCCGCGGGCGCGGTCGAGGCCGAGGAGACAAGCAAAGGGATGCCGGCACTACGAGTCAGAGGGCCCTCAGGCTCATGAAGGCCACCCGCTGCAAGAATTGCAGCGAGAAGGGCCACTGGTCACGGGGGTGCCCCCAGCCGCGGAAGGAGGGCGGCGGCAAGGGACCTGATCGATCAAAGCGAGGCTTGGCCGGATACGCGTTCGACGGCTGCAACTATCCGATCATGAACAACGACGAGCTCGAGAAGCTGAAGGGCATTCGGAAGGAGGCGCAGGCCATCGAGGTCTACCTCAACGCCTCCGCGACGCAGGGCCTCGTGGACCCAGGGGCCGGCAGCGACATAGTGGGACTGCCATCGCTGAACCGAGAGGCCGAGGCGCCGGCTCGTCACGGTCTTTGCAACGCAGTAGCACCAGGAGAGTTCAAGGCGCCCGAGAAGGCGCACGTCATCGGAGGCGAGGCAGAGGTGATCTGTACCATTCTGTGTCCGACGTTCCCCGGCGGAGTGATGGGAGTCGTGGATGCTACCGTGCTGAACGAAGACGTTCCGCACATACTGAGTGTCAACCTGCTGGATTTTCTCGGTTGCGTGCTCGACCTCCCTCGTAATCTTCCGATTTCGCAGTTTCTAGCTCAGGACATTCCTGTCGCCAAGCTGGGCCCAGGTCACCGCGTGGCCGATATTGCGCGGGAGACCAGGGGGAGCCACACTACCCCAGACAGTGCGCTTCGGAAGTATCCTTTTCTGACGGCGTCTTCCCTTGTACTGGCCGCTGGGCAGTCACCACCTGCGACGAGTGTCAGCGGGGAGATGAGCGCTTACAGGGTTGTCCTCTACATCTTCCCCCTCGGCCTCAATCGAATCGGACGCAGTGCCATGCTCCGGGGTCGAGCCTGGGGACGACAATTATCGATCGAGCTCGAGTTTAGCGACCAGCACCAGCCACGAGCTCAGTGGAGCGGCCTAGCGACGGCCCGGGCCTCGGGATCCCGCGGAGAAGCTAAGGATGAGGAGTGCAACCAGAGCCAGGCCAGCGAGACGACTAGAGCCCTCGACCTCAGATCAATGGGCAGAGCCATTTATGACCTCGGGGCTCTTGGTTTCTCGGCGATAGCCGTATGGGTTCAGATTGTCCCGGTGATTTCCGTGGCCAGTTTGGGCTCGAGCTCGCTGAGGCAATTCCAAGCTTTCAATCTCGATCACCTTCGGAGTCACATCCTGGGCGATTCCGTCCATGTTCATGTTTCACGTGGCGATGGCGCTGGATCTCGGGGTGCACCCGGTCGTCGGGGGCAAGAAGAAGGAGCCCGTAGCCAAGCAGCTTACCGAGGAGTTGCTGGCGCAGCGTCGCGCCGAGAGAGAGGAGGGCTCCGAGGTGTCCTCGGAGGTGTCCTCGGAGGTGTTCGAGCCATCAGCTGGAGCAGCCGGCTCGATGACACGCAGCGAGGCGACGGCGGCGGCGGGCAGCGACGTGCCCATGCCCCAGCAACCGCGCGGCGCCAGCAGCGCCTCGGACGACCAGCAGCACCAGGCGCTCGCAGCACTACGTGGGCTGCCGACCCCGATGAGTCTCGGACCAGCCCAGGTTGCGACGAGTCTCGCGGCGACAAAGGCGCCTCCCCCGCACCTTCAGCAGCGCCGACCGGCACCGAAGCCACAGCCAGCACTGTGGGGAGCGGCGGCA